GACAAGCATGCCGCACAGATGCGTTCGGAGCATAACCACTGATGTTCACCAATACAGCGAAAAAGCTACTGCATCGAGTCTGCAACAGGGACCCATTGCCGCCTGCTGTTTTCGCAGTCTCTGAGGGCTTGGCTCCATTTAAGATTCTGGCACTCCAGGGTGTGTAGCTCCTGGTTCAGGATAGTGCAGGGCTTTGGGGTGATGCGTCGCGTTTAGGGGGGTAGTTGTGCGCGGTGCTACAACCGAGAAAGACTTTGCAAGGAGCTCGGTTCCCAGGCTTTGCCCCAAAAACATCCAAGCCTCCAAGCGCGCTAAACCCAAGTGCTAAATTCTAGAACTCCAGGACACCATCAGGTGGACGTGGGTGCGTTCCTCCACGTCGAGCCCGCCCTTTCCGCAGGAGCCGACAAGGCTGCCTGCCGTTGAAGACGGGGTTGGGAGGCTTGGGGCTTGAAAGCTCAGGCTGGAGGGCGGGGTGGTAGGGATCTCGCGTTGGAGGATCCAGGGCTTCAGAGGGGTCTGATGGCTCAAGGGCTTTAGGGATATTGGCTGTAAAGAAGAAGCAATTATAACTACACTGATTGTCATAACAACAAGTACAACAACCTCTAGACCTAGAGCGGTAGCAAGCCCATGCCAGCACTACTAGCAACAACCATAACAAACAGTGACAACAAATAAGCGATCGTTAAAGAAAATGGCGACAATAAATACTACTTGTACGTTGCTAGTATTTTACATCACTGCTTTTGTTGTTCCTCCTGTCTAAAATAACAATCATCGAAGCAGTTAGGCCTGGAAAGAAGCTCGGATCCTCGCTGTTGCAGCTTTCGGAAGACATTCCTAACTGTTCGACATGACCCCGCTCGCCGCTCAGCGAGAGCTAGCCTCTGCCTCAAACCGGGAATCCGAATCTTCGGCTTCAGGGAGGTCTCAGCACTCACAACTGGGAACGACGGCGCACCCCAACACTAGACGACAGACTCACCACTGACACATCAAAAGATAAAGGTTTGGGGCTTAAGGGCTTAAGGCTTTAAGGTTTACAAGTTTCGGGCTTCGGCGCTCACTCTCGGCCATGCCAAGCGAAATTCTTGGTGCATAGTCGGGTTGGAGGTGAGACGGGTCTCGGCACTCACAACTAGGCATGACCAGGCGAGGTTCCAGGTAGGACAAGCGTCAGGCATGTGTAACCTCCAGTTCTGGGGATTCGGGTTCGGGGATGTAGGGCTGAGGGGTCTCGAGCACAGGCTTCGCCCCGAAACCGTAATTCCGAGATGTAAGTCCGGAACATTTAACCCACGACCCAAAGCGTCAACACGTCCTGGCATTCGTACGTGCAGCGAACATGGCCGCGCAAGCGCCACCTGATCGGTGAATTGAACAAGTGCATTGCCCCGACAGCAACGGAGGGTTGCCGTGTGAGACTACGACGTGATTCCACAATGTTTTCATTATCTTCAAAATTCCTTGCGGCCTGCGCCATGATCATCACGGTCAGGACGATCAGCATGCACTATGCAGGACGCTCTTTGTGTAATTTGGTCAATCACCAGCTAGTGAGTTCAACTGCTTGATTTGCTAGCTAAGTCACTAGTACAGAATATGCACCTATATGCATACTGCGCAGTTGAGGTTGTGCCTGCAGTGCAGGCAGCACACGACCAGGCGTTGCAGCAGACTTGCACACGGCTCCTTTGCGACGGGGTGCAGGGCCCGTTCGGGCCAATGGTTGATCGAATCCAGCCAATGTCAGGTCACTTCGCTTAATTACTGCACAGAGCAACGTCACTGCTCAGTCCTCTTAAGGCACCGTCCACCTCGACACCAAGTCATGAGGTCACTGTCATCATGGAGAGTATGCGTCTCCTGCAAGCCATGGCTTGCAGGAGACGCATACTCTCCATGATGAC